AGAGAGAGAGAGAGAGAGAGAGAGAGAGAGAGAGAGAGAGGAAAGAAACAAGCAGACAGAGAGAGACAGAGAGAGACAGAGAGAAAGATTTCTGCCATAAGATTCAAGCTTACTCAAGTACTCATTGTAAGGAACAGCCATCAGGGGGCTCACCTTGAAGCCATGTGTGTAGAGCAAGTGCCCCGTTCTTTGATTCTGAGTTTACTTGAGGATGGCTTAGGGAAGACATCCCTTGGAACCCCAGAGAATAACAGATGACTGTAATGTGCTTAGGAGCACACGTTTCCTCGTTGCTTGTGTTTAATTGAAAGTTCTCTTTAGCAAGTGACTTTCTTCTGCAGGTTTCGGTGGCTGAGTGAAAGGAGTGGAGTTTGTGAAAGAGGACTCTGATAGGACCATCTTGGTGTCACCTGAGGCACAATAGGCATGCCACAGCAAGTGCTGGGTCAATATCCTGAAGCTCAGAAACTCTTAACCCTCCAAAGTTTACAAAAGTAATCAAATTACCTTGGATTTTCTTTTCTTTTTTATTTTCTTTCCTACCTCCTTCTCTTCTTTCCCTCTCTTCTGTCTCTTTCCCTCCTCTTCCTTCCTTTCTTCCTTCCTTCTTCAGCTAGGCATAGAATCCAGGGCTTCACAGTGCTAGGCAAGCACCCTATCATTGACCCGCATACCCACAGCATAGAACTCTCCAATGCCAACGTCATCACAAGGACCTCCAAGGCCCTACCCTGTGTGATGCCATTTCCTCCCTAACCTCTTGTCCCCTAGCTTCCTTTCCCTCCCCTAGCCATACTTACCTCCTTGCTCTTCCTCTCACAGTCCAAGCCTACTCCTGCCTTGGGGGCCTTTGTTGTGTCTATTTCTTTTGATGATTGCTTTTCTACCCCAAGATCTACCTGGCTCTCTGCTCTTCCTTTATTCAGACATCTTGTTGAAGCCCATCTTGGCCATCCCATTGAAAATTGTCCTCTCCATCAACATACCCCCCTTTCCCCCTTCCTGGATCACTGTCTCTCTATACTAGAATGTAAGCTTCATAAGGCAGAGATTTTTTTTGTCATATATTCCCAACCATGTCCCCAGCACTCAGATATAGTATATGCTATACTGAACATAGTGTATGCCCAATAAATATATTTTAATCTATGAATACATTACACATTTTGTGGTTCTGTGATGGATACAAACCAACAAACAAAAGATAATAGTTCCTGTGCTTCTAGTTAAGTTTGGAAAACAAAACGATTAGAGAAAATTCAAAATAACAAGGACAACAAACAAATAGGAAAAATAATTTGTGAGACAGGTTCAGAAAAAATGAGACAGACAAATGTGGTTGGATTTGTTTTTGAATGCTTCCTGGATTGGACAGGAATTGAACAAGACATTTAAGAATGTGGGGCAGGGGGAGAATATGAATGAAAAGGGAGGAGAGAGAAGAAGAGGAGGAGGAGGTCAGCTTAAGCAAGGCTTTTCAAACAAAGTGGAAGAGCTGGCTTTCTTAGATGAGTTGTTACAACTGTTAATTCTTGTCTAAAGGTCTGAAGGCCTGGAATCCCTCACCTTCCAAGAAAACACTATTATTCCTAGCCACTGCTCCTTGGCATTCATTTCTCAGGTTGTGAACCCTCCCTTTCTGCAGTTGGCCCTGCTCTGCTTTCCAACCCTCCAGTCACTGAAAGAGGAAGGGCCTCTGAGTGTTAGCACTAGTCCAGCATCTCAGCCAGTGTCTCCTTAAACTTTTCATTGTTCCCTCTCACCAAACATCTAAACACCTCTCTAGGGCCCTGCTCCCTTCCCTGGCCCAGGAAGGACAGGTCCAATTCTTGCCATTGTCAATGCAGCTCTTTTTTTTTTCCAGCTCAGACTGACCTTGCACTCCAGGCAATCCTCCTGCCTCAGGCTCCCAAGTGGTGGGATTATATGCCTGAACTACCATAGCTGGCCCAAGAGAGCCTATTAACAGCCTAAATAGTGTATCCCAACTCCTCTCTTTAGCATGCTCATCTCAGGGTTCTGTGTTTAAATATTCAACTGTGCCATTTGTACATTGGTGGCCTGTCCCAGCACCATGAAAGGTCTCCATTGTTTGCCTTGAAAATGAAGGATAATAATATTTACATTCAACCAAATAAAACTCCAGTCTCAGGCCTCAATCCACAAAGGTTCTCTGACTAGGGTCTCTTTGCATACTAGTTACTCTCCCCAGGAATCAGCACTCTGATTTGTATATCCTAACTGCATCCCCAGAGGCCACTTTGCATGTCTGCCTTTTGGCTAGATCCCTATGCAAATATCTCCTTGAAGCTTCACCTTTCTCTTAGAAAACATCAGGCTTGGAGGGCAGCAAAAACCCATTCTAATGTAGCCTCCACCTTACCCCACCTCTCCCATATCTTCAATATATTGTCTTTTTGGACCCTGGGCCATAGAATAAGTTGACTTCCCCAACAGCATCCTTGGTGCATACTTAGCTAAGAGACCAAGGCCAGCCTTGCCAGTTCTTAGTTGAGAAGCAAAGGACAGTCATTCCACCCCTTGTATTCCCAGCTTCCAGATGGTACCAGTCCTTGAAAATTTAATGAATTTCACTTTATAGTGAAAGGAATAGTTTATTATTGTAAATGGTCCATGGATGTTTGATAAAAATGTCTGTTCTGAACTTAGGCCCTGTGCTCTACTTGCGTTTATTAAATCACTTCATACTTGTTAATTTGTGTGTGTGTATTGTTGTTGTTGTTGTTATGACAAGATCTTATTATGTAGCACAAGCCAATCTTATATTCATCATGTAGCCCAGGCTGGCTTCAAACTCAAAGTCCTCCTGCCTCAGTGTACTCTGAATACTGATATTATAGACTTCAGCCACTGCTCCTGAATAATTGGTTAATTTTGTTTCCAGTGTGTTGGATCTACCAATTATCGAGAGGCAGGTGTTTATATTTCCTACTCTGACACTATAATTATTTTCTTTTACATATTTCTATTGAGGCTATTTTATCAGATGCATGCAAATCTCTAGAATTGTTATAGCTTTCTAGTAAACCTTAGCTTCATCATTTAGGACAGTCTTACACTTCACCTTGAAGTTTATTTAGGCTAATCTTAACTATAGCTTTATAAGCTTTATTTTGGCTAATATGTGCCTGGTATATTTTCCTACATCTTTATTTTCTGTGATGTTATGTTTTAGATTTGTTTTTGGAAACAGAATGGAGTGCAAATTTTCTTTCTGTTTCCAGTAGGAAATCATTGTCTTAACTTTAGAATTTATTTGTACTTATTATAATTTATTTCTATCATCTGATTTTTATTCTATTTGTCTCATTTAAAAACTATTTTATCTTTTCCTTTCTTGACTTTAAAAAATGTTCTGAGAGCTTTAAAAAAAAATTTTTTTTGTTATCACAAGAGATGTTTTATCTCTTGTAAAATAGGCATAGTAGTACCTTTCACTAGGTTTATTGTAAGGATTAAATGAGATGTGAGAGGAAGAAACTCCAGTAAATGTTTATCTAGTACCTAGTACATAAAACACAATAAAATGGGAACTATTATTAGAATTTCTAGCACTTTTTCATATTTCATTTTATAGTTCCCTCATTGCTTGTGCTTCCTCTTCTGTTGTTCTCCTTTCTGCTGGCATTGCCCTATTTGTTCTCAGTCCTTTTTCTTTCATTTCTCCTTTGCTGTCACTTAATTTCCTGTTTCTTCCTGCCCCTTTATCTTCAGGCCAGTTATGAGTGCAAGCTGTGATTATGAAGCCATTTGGAGAAAAGAGTCACTGTGAAGAATCAGAGAACTGGGAAGACTCTGACCCACTGGTTCTCAAGCCTCAGATGGCAAAGGTACTACCCAGTGCATAGCATACTATGGAGGCTGCTGTAGGTTGGCCATGGTAAAGCTGGGTCAGCTGGAAAGGGATATAAAGGCAGTGGATCTACCCTGTAAGGATACAGTTCAATTTCCTAGTATGTTCCCTGGCTTATGGAGGCCAGCTCTATCCTTATTCTCCACTGTCAAGGAGTCCTGCTATGGGAGAGTGGGTGTCACTCAGTAGGAACTTATATATGCTCAGACCTGAGCTTGGAAAGAGGAACAGTTTGCACTCAAATACATTGTGGTCAGAGGAACATTTTGTCATCACTGTTGTGACAATGCTACAACTAAATTTAGCAAGCCATGTATATATCTTTTTCATGTCTATTAGAGAAAGCATCATATTTTCTTTCCAAAAAGCAAAAAGTCCCCAAATTGAAAATGCTCTCCTCTAATTTGGCACTTGATTGCTATAGAGAGTCCTTATTCCATGTGCTTCGGATCTTTGCTTTTTCTGTGTCCTCTGTAGCATGACTTGCTTTTAAGACCTATTGTGCCACTGGAGGAACATACTGGCACTTTGGTGGAGTTTTGGGTGCTTTTCTATTCTCTGGTGGTTTCCATACTCAGATTAAAATAAACAGAGGTGCCGAACTTCCATATTCCTTGTAGATCTCATTCAGATTTGAGAATCTAACCTTCTGATGGCAATTACTTTATTCTTCAGGATAAATTTTCAATAGATGCTATTGATGTTTTCTGAAAATGTCTTGATTACAAAAGTGCCATTTCAGGGGCTGCAGAGACGGCTCAGTGGTTAAGAGCACTGGCCACTCTTGTAGAGATCTGGGTTTGGTTCCCAGCATCCACATGGCAGCTAACAACCATCTGTACCTCTAGTTCCAGGTGATCCAACACCCTCTTCTGACCTTCGAGGGTATTGCATGACATGAGTGCACTTACAACATGCTGGCAAAACACTCATACACATAAAAACTAAAAATAATTTAAAAGTGCATTTTAAAAAATCCAATTTCATCTTATGGTGTAGAAGAATGGGCTATGTTTCTTATCATTAGCATACTCAGCAACATAATGGTTCTCTACGTTTGTAAGTTCTAAAAAACAAACTGTATCTAAACCATCCAATCTTTCTTCATCAAGGAGAATGCTACTGCCTGCATATTACAGCAATTGTAGGAGTAATTTGATGTCTACAGGATATAGAAATGATGTGAGTAGAACCTTAGCTAATAGGAGGGTAGACATTTTGTGGAAATCAATGGGAGAGGGAGAGGGAGAGGGAGAGGGAGGGAGGGAGGGAGAGAGAATATTAATCAGGCATAGGAGAGTGATTCTTAATATCAGTATCCAGGTAAATATTTGATTTGAAGTGACTGAGATTTTTACCTCCTCGAGTGTGCTCTACCAGTGATATTTAACTGTTTTCATCTCGGGACTCTTAAATACTCATAAAAATGGTGAGGGCTGGGGAGATGGCTCAGCAGGTGCAAGCATGGTGACCTGAGTTGAAATCCCCAGCACCTAAATAAAAAGCTGGGCACGTCTCTGTGTACCTATAATCCCAGTGTTAGCCAGTGAATACAGGCAGATCCTGGGAGCTCACTGGTCAGCTAATGTAGCATAAACATTGAGCTTCTGGTTCAGTGAGAGACCCTGTTTTGAGGGCACAAGGAGGAGAACAATAGAGGAAGACACTGGATGTCCTCCTTTCACCTCCACATGCGCAGTGTACAGGTGTGACACATGCATGCATGCAACACCCCCTTGCACAAAATGTTGAGCACCTCAATACTGCCTTTTCCTCGCTCCCATAGGACTTCATCCTCAAGGCACTCCTTAGCAACTTGCAAGAGGGTTGACTTCTGGTTAACTTAACCTGTGACAAGTGTTTGGCAGTGTCTACCATAGAAATGTTTAAATTATTGAAGCAATTAGTTTCTTCAGGCACAGGTGTACTTGACTTTAAACAATCTAAATTTAGCAACTTGTAGGCATGTAGGAATTATTTGTTTTATAAACAGTTTCTTTCATTCTTGTGAGGTATTCAATAAACACTGTGATTTATTTAAAATAGGAAAAACATAGCCAGGTGTGATGGTGCATGTTTTTAATCCCAGCACTCAGGAGGCAGAGGTAGGCGTATCTCTGTGAGATCGAGATCAACCTAGTCTACATAGAGAGTTCCAGGCCAGCTAGGGCTACAGGGAGACCCTGTCTCAAAAAGAAGAGACAGAAAAAAAGAAAAATAGACAAACTATAAGGCATAATCCTTAGGGAAGTACAAATACAAAACATAATGGGATACTACTTTTCAGCTTTTGGAGTGGTTACTGTTTAAAAAATACAGAATGATTGATTGCTCAAGGCAATCCTGGGCTACATGAGGACCTGTCTCAACAACAACAGAAATCACAAGAGTTAGCTGAGTTTGATGGTACACACCTGTAATCCCAGTATTTACAAGGCAGAAGCAGGAGACTCTCTTCAAGTTAGAGGCAAGCCTTGTCTACATAGCAAATCCCAGGACATCCAGGGCTACATAGCAAGACCCTACGTTAATAAAACAAAGCAAGCAAAGAATCCTAAAACAAGTATTAATGAAGTATTGATGAAGATGAGGAGATATAGGATCACATTGTTCACTACTGGTGGGAATGTAAAATAATATAAATGCTATGGAAAACAGTATGGAGATTACTTAAAACATTTAGATGCAGGGCTAGGGCTATAATTTAATAGTAGAACGCCTATTCAACAAGTGTCAGGTTTAAATTCAATCCCTAGCACTGAAAAAAAACCTAGATGAAATATTGCCATGCGATCAAACAAGTACTTAAAACAGACACTCAAAAAAGGTGTTTGCTGGGGCTGGAGAGATGGCTCAGCATTTAAGAGCACTGACTGCCCTTGCAGAGGACCCAGGTTCGATTCCTAGCACCCACATGGCAGCTACGAACCATCCTTAACTCTAGTTCCAGGGGAAGCCGATGCCCTCTTCTGACCTCCACGGGATTGCATGACACAGGTGCACTCACATACATGAGGGCAATACACGCATACACATAAAATAAAATAATAAATAAAATATTTTTTAAAAAGATGTTTGCATATCCATGTTCACAATAGCACTATTCACAATAGCCAAATAGTAGGAACAACCCAAACATTCACTATGGATGAATGGATGAACAAAATATGGTCTATGCATACAATGAAACAGCTTTCTGACGAATGCTACAACATGGATGGACTTTGCAGCTACTGTGATACATACTGAGATGAGACCTATTCTTAAAGTAAAAATATTGCTAACATGGTACGTTTTGTATTATGTATTTTATCCCAACAAAAATATGGGGATCCAGACTGTAGCTCAGTTGGTAGAGAGCTTGCTGAGCATGTACAAGGCCCTGGGTTCAATTCCCAGCAACAAATAAACTGGGTATGATGGTATAGAACTGTAACTCCAGAACTTGGGAGGAAGAGGCAGGAGGATCATGTTCAAGGCTGTCCTAAGCTATATACAATTGGAGGCCAGCCTAGGCTATGTGAGACTCTGTCTTTAAAAAATGTATAACAAAACACACTTAGTGGTTGAGGAGATAGTTCAGTCAATAAAATATTGTCAATAAAGTTTACATAGGTTCCAGCCATACATCCTGTGTAAAAAAGCTGGACATGATAGTACAAGTTTATAATCTCCGTGCTACAGAGGAAGCAGAGACAGGTGGATCTCTGGGGCTTACTGGCCAGTTATCCTAGGCCATGAAGTGAGTTAAAGCCAGTGAGGAATTCTGTCTAAAAGTGGCTAAGGAATGACACCGAAAGTTGTCCTTTTGCCTCCATAGGCACATGCACACATGCACATGAACACACACATGCGCACACACATGCATGCATATACACACACAATTTTAAAAATAAAAAGTTGAAAGGATAAATATGTCTGAATTCTTGTGATGTATTAAATTAATTATGTTAAAAAGATTAATGATGCTGGGTGTGCTGGTTCACACCTTTAGTCCCAGTACTTGGGAGGCAGAGGCAGGTGGATGTCTGTGCAATTGAGGCCAGCCTGGTCTACGAAGTGAGTTCCAGGCCAGCTGAGGCTACAGGGAGACCATGTCTCAAAAAAAATTAATGATGACTTGGAATGTAACTCAAGAGTTGAGCACTTGCCTAGCATGCCCAAGACCTTAAGTTCCATCCCCTGGTCCCTTAAAAATAGGTTAATGAAAAAAAAAATAGGTTAATGAGTGGTCCCTTTCTTTTTCGTCTTTTTTTTGTGTGTGTGTGTGTGTGTTTGAGACCACGCCCAGTGAGTGGTCCATTCTTATTGCCAATTACTCATTGTATGACTAGCCTACCATGAAAGTATCATGTTAAGTGAAAGAAGCTATTCAAAATACATGAGATATTTAGAAAAAGATAATAGACAAAAAGTGGTTGAATAGTCATCTAAAGTTGTGTGAGGATTGTGGAGAGTGACTCCCAGGGAGCACATGAACATACTCAAACCCCTTGAATTCATTATATCTTTTATTTAGTAGTGGTAGTACTAGGAATCGACTCCAGAGCCTTAGGTTTGCTAGACAAGTACTCTGTCACTGACTGAGCTATATCTCTAGCTCTGAATTCACTATAAATGAGTAAATTATATACTTAAACAAATCTGCTATTGTTGGGCATGTTGGTGCAGGAGGATCAGGAGTTCAAGGCCAGTCTCTGGTATAGAGTGAATTCAAGGCCAGCGAATTGAATTGGCCTTGTCTCAACCGCACCCCTATCCCCCTCAAAGCTACTATTCACGAAAAGATCAATGAAATTGAAAGTAATAGAAAAGACTCCCTTGAAGACTGTCTTTTCTGATTGACCTAGGAAAGTAACCTTTTTATGTCTCTGTATGGAAAGATCAGTTGGTTTTCTTGTGTTTCCTTTCAGTCATTCAGAAAGCACTGAAAACCTATGGGCAGACAACATTACCAAAGTTATATTAATGATCTAA